ATGCCGGAGCCTGAAGAAGGGGAGCGGGCGCGGCGTGCGAAGGGCCAGGGGCCGGAGGCCACCCATACGGCGCTCTGTTCACCGGCCTTGATTCTTCAGGTCTTGAGGGCAGTATCGCTGCGGCTGCCTGCGAAGCTTGCCGCACTGGCTCCGGCGGGGGTGTCGGTTCTCTAGGAGGCTGGGAGTGGACAACCGGTTGTCGGCCTGCCTTCTTACATTTGTGGCATTGAAAGCTTCGCTGCTCGACAAACTTCTGAGCTTCGGATCCGATGTTGCCATAGTACCCATTCGTAAGCTCCCGTTCCTGTGCCTGGTCGATGGGATGCCACTTGGGGCTCACGTCAACACCACAAGTCAGGCAGATCTTGCCGCCAGGCTGGAGGCCGATCGGCGCGTCTTCGCGGTCACCGTTGACCAAGGCGGCGAGCGATGCCCGCCGATTTTGGTGCGCCGTGATTGGCGTCGGCGAAGTTGACATCTTCGAGGCGACAGTAATCTGGTTTGCCTTCCTCGCGCAGCCTGTCAAGGTCAGATCGGCTTGTTTGCAGTTTTGCACGTAGAGTTGCAGGGCATTCGTTCCCGTCTCTGCCACGGACTCGTGCATTAGATGGACCGTCGTCTTCGTCGGCAAATGGTCCTTGCACCAAACACCAGCCGACATCGCGCCGCTGACACCGTTTCATGGTAACGAACCGGGAAGGATCCCGTCGCGACCCCTGTGACAGGTGTGACCTCAAACCCAAGGGTGTAGCCTGCTTGGTGTGGCACATTCGACGTGAACCGGGGTATGGCAGTGGTGGCACTGTACACACGCTCCATCGACCTTCTTGCAGACCTTGCACGCTTCTGCGTACTTATCCCGGGGGATCAAGGGGATGCCCTCGCTAGGACTGAGGGCTTTGGCGTTGCCAAACTTGACCTCGTGCGTAAACACGGCGCAGGTAACATGGACCCAGTTGTTGTCCGCTGTCCGTTTGAGCGGCTCGCGGGGGTTGACCGGGCGGTTCATCTCTTCCTGCTTCTTACGGTAGTAATCGGCCGCGCGTTGGGCGTTCTCCCGTTCCATCCGCTCCCGCTCCCGCTCCTTCTCCGTCTTCTTTTTGTGAGAATTGGAGATTTTGGGGTGTTCCACGAAATCGTGTACCGTATGCTCGACCGGGCACAGGACACATTTGTAGTGCTGGTTTCAAATTAGCACGCATAATTTGCATGGTTCGCCGAAAAAAACAACACTTACGATTGACAGCTGAGGATTCTTGTCGTTCAGACACATGTCGCAAGTCCACTTGTTCGAAGCGCGGTTATCAATGACACCGTAACAGCTGCGGTGCACCGTCAGACGGCACTCCTTGCACGACAAGTGCTGATCACCCAGCGGCGCCATCTCCCGGCAGATGGCACAGGGCAGGGTCTTCGGCTTCGGGATTTCGGGAACGGGCGGGGGTGCTGGAGCTTGGGCGTGCTTCTCCGCCATCTTCTCCTTCTTCTTGGATGTCGGGCCGCCAGATACGCTGCCTGATTCGGACGGGGTTTTCTCCAGATCCTTATCGAGCAATGTGCTCTTCAGTTTCTTGCGTGGCGGTTCCGCGCTCGTTGTCTGGCCGTTGAGAGATGCCGCCGGAGTCCCTGTCTCGTCCTCCTCGGGTGTCGGGAGCCGGGTGTTCACCATCTCGTCGACGGCGAGCAGTTCCCTATACAGATCCTCGTCGACCCTGCGCCTCCACCCACGACCACCCGTCTGGGCGACCTTCTTCGCCAGCTCCTCAACGTCCTCCCATTGAATGGCGTACCGCCGCCATAACTCGGCGCATCGCCTGCAGAGCGCCTGGATGTACTGCTCCTTTTTATCCTTGGCAGAGTTCTTGCCACCGTTCTCAGTCACCGAGGTCACAGCTGCAGCTGGAGCTCTCCGCCACTTGCGGGACCTCTTGGTGCCGCAGAACTTGCACATGAAACTCTTCTTCTTCTCTCTGGCCCTATCCGCGTCGAACGCAGAGTCATCGTGGACGTCGGCAACATCGTCGGCAAGTTTGTTCGCAGCGGCCTCGGCCTTCTTAGCGTCCTTTTTACCCTTCCGGCCGGAGAAATTGGCCCATATCAGCTTTCCACGGTCTGTTTTCTTCCAGGTGTAGTAGTAGCGGGTTATGGTAGCAGGTTTCAGGGTCTTCACATGCTTCTTGACGCTGTGCAGCTCGGAACCAAACTTGGCGACGGCCTCTTCAAACTTTTTCTGCTCCGTGGGGGTTAGCTCGGGCTCCCCAAAGTCAGCCTTGGGTACCTTTGGGGAGTTCCGCGAGGGCCTTTCGCTGGGTCAAAATCGTTGCGGAAGAGGACGTCCCTCGCCGACATCCTGGAGGTGGGTCGAGTGTGGCGGGCAAACTGAGCGAGGACCGCCATTGGACCTGGCTGGTCCCATGTAGTAGTGAAGGACCTGGGGGGGCATGGCCACGCCACAGTTATCAGGCGGCTTGTAGAGGAGGGTTGCCGGATCCCAGCTTTAACGCTGCATGTATCCGGGGGGCTTGTCCTGGACCCAGCCGTGTCGCTGATCTTTCCGGATCGTCTCATCGGAGAGGCCGGCGGCAGGTCCTGACGAGCATCAG